TTCAAAGTCATTCTGCAATCCTGTAAGCTCAGCTTATTCATGCATGATTTATCTCTATAATTACATTATTATAATTCAGGTAATTTCTAATGTGTATATTTATCATCTCCTTCGCCCTTTGTTCTTGTATTTGGCTGGGTTCTTGAATGAGCACTAGATTTTTACTTTCTCAAACGAATCAATACTTTTTCACATGGCGTCTGGTGAAGAGAGGTCAGCATTGCCTCCTTTTACATGGTGAAAGCGAGGGGCGAAGGTGTGAGCAATTCACCCTACCGCATTTATGCACTAAAGATTACATGTCTATATGTCTACTTTGCTTGTGTTTTCATCCGCGTTCTCTCGTCTGTAAACAGAAAAATCTCCGGACAAAATAAATTTCAGCCCAGCTGTAGATCCTCTTCAGCTACCACAAATATCGCTATTGAAATGTATAAAATGCTCTTTAAAACGGTATGTTCCTGAAAAAAATTTACTCTCAAAACAGTTCACTCAATTACGAAAACCCACACAATTTTCTTTTTAACTTAATATATAGAAACCAAACATATGTTTAGCACTCTTAATTAAACCTCACTCGTGATACCTTCTCCGATTACACTAAGTGTTTACTGATATGTGTACTGATAGTGAAGATGACATACAAATATTTTTGGTTTCAAGGATAGTAGTGCCGCCGCATTCGGTGTTTTCATTGTAAATTAATTTGGAAAAGTAGTGGCTTTTTTTCGTGGTGCTTTCCTGTGAAAATTTTTCTATGAAAACATCTGGTTTTTAAATCTTTTTGTTATTGAAGTTTACTATTCATATATCCGTATACACTGGCATCGCGTACCTCTTATGTTGTCAGTATTCACGAACTTTAATGTTCTACTTTAGATTTTCATTATAAAACTCAAAAAGCTCTTAAAGCTTTTATATAGAATAGTTCTTCGCGTTGTACAGAAAGTTTCGCAATGAACCTACGATGATTGCTGATTATGTTTGTCATTTTATAAAATATATATGTCGTTAGAGTTGCCTGGTTTCGACTTGGCATACCGGAGTTAATCGTGGAGCAGAATAAACCTGGAATAAGTATCGATTCGACGAAACGACAAAATAATATCAAGAGCTTTGAGAAAAGTGATGGTGGTCTTTGATATACTGGTAGCTGACTATACAAGTTTCTTGCTTTATAGCAGCAGTCAGTGGAATTGTTTTTCAAAAAGGTGATTCATGGGAAATGTACTAAAAATGCCACTATGCTTTTCTCAGACACTCTTCGTTCATTTTCTTTTTTTTCCTTCCTTTTTTGCATGCACCTCTACTCTAATTTGAGTAGCTAGATTAGTTTTTTAACGTAAAAGTGAACTTGTGAACAACATTGATTCAACATGATGGGAAGAGTTAATCTTAGAAGTCATTTGAATTTTGGACCTTTGCGAGTTGTTTACGTATTTCCTCTTATCATTTAGGAGGAAAAAGGGGGAAACGCGTGGAAAAACAAGAAAAATATTGGATGAGTGTAATTGAGGGGGGGACATGGTAGTGATCTAACGCTGGAATTGACTGGGAATGAGACTACAAATAGAACAGTTTTTTTACAAAATAGAAAAACGATTTGGAAAGAAAAGTTGTTTTTTCGTGTTTCCTTCAATTACCCTTAATTCCGTTTTCTGA